ATTCCTTGTTGTTAGATCAAGAGTCTTTTGGTTAGAGGAAGAGCCTCCATGACTTAATTACTTCATTGTTATTGGATAATCTTAGATCAAAAAATGTAATAAGGAAATTAAAAATTCACCCAACATAATCTCACTCTTATTTACAAATAAGAGTTTTTATTATTAATTGAGTACGACTCATTCAGGATGAAGATATCTCTTAATTATAATCTCTTTGGAAAGAGAAAACCCTTTGATTCCAATATGAAGAATGAAATAAGTAATGGAATTTGATTTGATGATACGGCTGCATCCAAGGAACCCTAGACTGCCTACATACCCCATTTTGGGGATCTAGCCTTTTGTAGTTCTCAGATAATTTGACTGGAGTTTCATGGAATGAATGACCCCTTGAAGAATTTGTAGTATGAGAAATCTTTTATGAAATTTGGATGAATGTGGTTGGACCAGGGATTCAATTTGATTTTGTGGTTGGAAAAGTGTTTGGGGCGAATTTGGTTAAGGTACACCAAGGGTTCTGTTTGGACTTGCAGTTGTATTTGGATTGAATTTCCAAATTGCCTACTTATCCTTGGCGGAATCAAACCGGACTTAGTTCCTTGATATCTTGATTGGACTTTCAAAGAATGAATGACCCCTTGAAAGAATTTGTATGTTTGAGATATTTGAAATTTGCACGGGGAGATGACCCATGAGAAAATTAGAATGGTTTTGTACCATTTCAGAAATTTAGGATTTTCATATCAATTATTTGCTAGTTGATACGTTTTTATTTTGAAGGAAATTTTGGATGGACCAATTTTGATTTGATGAAAAAGTCCATCAAACTTTATTTGATGGTTATACCAGTTATTTGTTAACTGGTATTTTCTAGCACTTGAGAATTGTCAATGGTTAGCTCCATTTAAACATGTGGGAGATCCTGTTTGAACCCTTGAATTTGGAAGATGACCCACTTGCCCTTCATCCTTCTTTGACAATTTTTGGATATTTGGCTAGGAAGATGCAAGTCTCTGCATGTCCAGCAAAACCAATTGGTTGGGCTTTGGGTTTGCTATTATCACATCCTCACTAAACAACCACTTTCTTGCTCTACTTTTCCACTAAGCAACAGCAGTGCATTCCTTCTTTGATTTGTGACTGGAACTTTTGCTGGGGCAAAGTCCCATTTAGTTTGGCCTGCAGGACGCCAGAGAAAGGCTTGTTGCCCACTTGTGCATTCATTTTCTTCTTTATTTGTTAAAGACTCCAAGGCTCCAGGGAAATTGAGGGGTGCAAATTAATTCTCTTGTGCTTGATTTGGAGAAGTTTTGGTCTGACAAGAAGACAGTTTTCTTTTTGTACACCTTGAATATCTTTGTCTTTTTGTTTGTTACTCAAAAACACCTGCATTATTTTCATCAGTATGTCTATGAACACCTGCAAAGCGCTCACAACACTTAATACAGTGGGATTCTTGTGGAAGCCTATCTGTATATTTTCACAAAAGGGAGGTCCTTGCGAGAGCTCCCTCTTGTGTGATTTCTTGAGATTTCTCTAACAGCAGGGACATGATTCTTCAATTCTTTTTTTGAGAATGATGAATTTCTTTTGCCTGCAGTGGTCTCATGAGACTTCTTTGACAGCAAAGACATGGAGGAATTTCTCAATGCACATTCTCAAAGCCTTTATGGCAGACAGCAGCGGAAGGGGACTTTGAACTTTTGATAGGAAATCTGTCATCAATTTGGTGCCCCATGACTGTTATTTAAAGGTCAACTTCCGTGTGATGCTCAGGAAACGTCATTTGCAGAGGCTTGTTTAATTAAACTTCACATAAGATGTTTGAGTTTTGAGCAGCAAGGGAATATACTGCACAGAGAAACATGATGAAATTTTCTGGCAGAAGAAATAAACTTTATACCTTGCCTTTCTTCTGCCCCTTTCTTTCTCTTCCTCCATAATCAGAATCCCAACAGCCTCTTCGTTTTCTCTCCAGACTTTCTTTCCTGCAGCAGCTTTTTATTTTTGCCTCCTTCAGACTTCTCGCCTCTTATGTGCAGTCCTTTGGTTCCTCTCTGCGTTTTCTCTCCTGCCTCTGTTTCTGCCCTTTCTTTTTCTGCAGCACCTCCTTTTTTTTACCTCTGCACGTTCATGTCTTTTATAGGCAAAAGATATAGCAGTTGGGGAAGCACGTTTGCTAAGTGGGCGGCCTCTCTGCTGAATGGAGTTGCAGAGGATAAACACGATCTCTTCCCACCTTTTATTTTTCATTCGTTTTATTTTATATTTCTTTTGAAAACTGACCTTATCTCCTTTTAATTTCTAGTAGGGACAATCAGCAGCCTTAAAGATCAACCTTCACGTATTGGGCTTTTATCCCGGGCCCCTTTCCTTGTCATGTAATTTTTTGTGTTCAACATATAATACTCCAAGTTTATCAAATTAATGAAATCTTTCATAATTTTTTTTAAAAAACAAAACAGGAGGGTGAAGCTAGAAAACAATTTTTAGAGGGACCAAGATGTGAATAACTTAGTTTGGGGGCCATTACATAAATCTTTTACAAACTCTTCCATGAAATGCTAGAATTAGCCCTATACTATTAAAATATTATATTTATGGAGTATAGCCGCACGGCTATACCTTTAAAATATTATATTAGGGTTTAGTGAAGAATTAGTATTTAAATATTTCAATTAATTTCATAAAAATGACTTAATAAATACAAATTAATTATATTTAATTATCTCAAATAATTTTGTGGAATTTAAAATTACTTTAAAAATAGTTTCAATTATTTAAAAATTCTAAAAATCGAATTTTAATCTCCAAACTCTAAATCCAAGTCTCGAACCAAAAACCCTAGCTTTCGAACTTGTCCGAACTCGTTCCAAAATCGTTCGCAAGCCTTAAACTCTGGCTATAAATATACTGTAGGACACTTAGGACTCAATTAGGCTTGGATAATCACGTAACTCGACCCAGGGCTTTACGATTTAGGTTTCGCTCTCAGTCTTGGGTTAGTCTGATGTAACCAAACCTACACTAGACATGTCTCGGCGAATTATGTCAAGATAAACCTAGCCCAACAAACTTTAACGGGATAGACTTATCTCGGCAAACTTTGATGGGATAGACCTATCTCGGCGAATATGTGTCGCCGGTCGCCCCCTTTTATTCCTTCACAGCCAGAGCCACTATGTCAAAACCACCGGTCGCTCTGCCCAAACTACCGGTCGCTTTGTCCTCCTTTCCTGAACATTAAGCCTCTGTGTCAAAACAACCGGTTGCCAGTGAAAAATGATTAAGAACTCCACGCTGCCAAAATCATTAGGAGGAAGTTGAACTGTTTTTTGAGATTTTGCCCAATTCGGACTTCAGCTTTAGTACCACACCAATCTTCTTCAGAAGAAGTCGTTTAGGTAACATCTCCTCCTGAAACTAATAACACAATTGAAATATACCATGATGATTTGATTTTAGAAAACATAAAGGATGCAGGTACCCCTATATACCAACTTCCAGAAAGAAAGAATCGTGGTAAACCTCGAGTACAGTACGAAGCAGATCTTAAAGTGAAAGGAAAATACACAATCAATAATTATATATCTCTAAGCAGATTATTAGAGTCACATGTATACTTTGTGGAGCAGTTGGAAGATATATATGTCCCCAATAGTGTGACTGAAGCACTAGAAGACTCAAAATGGAAAGAAGCCATGAATGAATAAATGCGAGCTCTCCAGAAGTTGTTATTTTAACATCAAACTGATGTAGTGAACAGTTTAGATTTGTTGCTAGAGACAGTAGGACGCTGATAGTGTTGATCTTGGTTATTGGGCCAAAGGTCTCTTGGTAGTTCACCATCTCTATGTGTACCCCTTTGCCACCAATCTAGCTTTATATCTTTTAATAGATCCATCTGCTTTGAGTTTCACAGATAGATCCACCTACATCCCATTGTCTTTTTTCCGTAAGGTAAAGGCAGGAGCTCTCATGTGGCATTCTTCTGGAGAGCTCGCATTTATTCATTCATGGCTTCTTTCCATTTTGAGTCTTCTAGTGCTTCAGTCATGCTATTGGGGACAAATATATCTACCAACTGCTTCACAAAGTATACATGTGGCTTTAATAATCTGCTTAGAGATATATAGAATTATTGATGGGGTATTTTCCTTTCACTTTAAAATCTGCTTCGTATTGTACTCGAGGTTTACCATGGTTCTTCCTTTCTGGAATTTGGTATATAAGGGTATCTATATCCTTTATGCTTTCTAAAATCAAATCATTATGGTATATTTCATTAGTGTTATTAGTTTCAGGGGGAGATGTTATATGAATGACTTCCTCAGAAGGTGACTGGCATGATATAAAGCTAAATGTGGGTCCAGAGCGGGTGAAATCTCAAAAAGCAGTTTAACTTCCTCCTCATGATTTTGGCAGCTTGGAGTTGAAAGATCATTTTCCACCGGTGACCGGTCATTTTGACACAAAGGCTTAATGTTCGGTAAAGGAGGACAAAGCAACAGGTCGTTTTGACACAATGGCTACGTCTGTGAAGGAATAAAAGGGGCCAACTGGTCGTGTGGGAGAGGCAACCGGTAGCTTTAATTAAGGCAGAAATGCCTTATGTGCATGAATAACGGAAGGCTATCGGTAGTTTTGGAGGGTTTACCGGTCACTTTGATGCTGAGCCTCCTCTATTGTGAAAAAGTACAGAAAAGTCGGGGTGTTCGGCTTTAGATTCTCCTCTTGTGCTTTTGAAAAATATATGTTGTGTTCGCGAACCACTACATCCATAGAGGTATAAACCTTCTGACTTGGAGGGTGATAACATCAGTACCCTTTCTGATTAGGGGCATATCCAATGAAAACACACTTTTCTACGCGGGGATTGAATTTGTCATGTTGGTGATCAGGTAAGTGTACGAATACAACACTGCCAAAAATTCATGGTTCAAGGTTTGGGGTAGGAGGTATTTGGAGATGGTGGTGAGGTATTCGAAGAGGATTTTGGAAATTCAAGCTACTTGAGGGAATCCTATTTATAAGGTAAGCTGCATAGAGGACGGTTGACAGGACCCGAAACAAATTCCACTTTGGAATCTGAGTCGAACCCTGTGTGTGTCCGACACCTAGCGGGTGCCGAGCACACTTGATCAAATTGCCCTTCTAACTAAAATTCAAAAATTTCTTTAGGGTTTGACTTTTGCCAAAAATTCGGCAATCTCCCCTATAAAATGCTCGTTTCCCAAACTTTATCACCTATACAACATGCAATTCAAATATCCACCAACATTCAGCAAGCACAATGGTAGGATGTACACAACCAACAACAAATCTTTATGGCCTCAGGCCTTACAGAAATCCTAGGGTAATTTCAAAGCAAGCTAATTCAGTTAATTACAAAAGTAGAACAATAACAAGAGAACATCCTACATAGTGCAAAATGAGGAGTGTTGAGTGATGACCACCCTATTGTGGTGCTCTGGTACACGACTACTGCCTGGGGGTGCAAAACATTTAAAAGTGTGAGTGAACAAAAGAAAGTTTTGGAAAGTATAATATTAACATACTAACCCTACTGTTAAAACATTTGAAAATTCATTTATATCCATGTTCTATATTCGTACAATATCAAGCATGCATAGCTATAAACATATAACCAATCATGCAAACAAATCCTCAAAACAATTTGGAAGCATTGTAAAGAAACAATTCCTTTCCACCTAGGTGTACTCATAATAAAACCGTCAATTCCTTGTGTCACATAATGCGACACATCCTCGCAAGTCTCGGCAACACAAAGTCAACTTGAGCCGCATTCCTTGCAAGACTCAGGGGACACTTGGTCAACCTAACCAACATTCCTCGCTCCTCGTGATCCGGATATCCCTAAGACTCATGGGGCAACTGTCAAACGCTCACTAACTCAACCGAAGGCAACTAGGATGTCCGTGGACATCAGTATAACTGAAGGCAACAATTTATCCGAATGCAACATTTTGGGTTCCTATAGTGGTTTAAAAACCTTTCTTGGAAAAATTATAATTCTATTTCTCATTAAATCCTTAAATCATGTTATCATTTCATTTTCTACCTTCCAAGCCGTTCATGTTTAAACATAAAAAGAATTTAATAAAAATATTTGGATTCAAACTAATTGAAGCAAAACCATAAATAATTCATTCCAGAGAAATAATAAAACTTTTACTGCTAAAAATTCATTTATAAAACAAAAGTCCACTCACTGAGCGTCCGAGCTAGCTTGACCCTTCAAGGGTCCTTTCTGCGGGTTCAATGAAGCCCAAGTACCTATTTAAACAATTAGAATAATTAATTAATAAAATAACTCAACCACAATTATTTAATCAAAATCCTGTCCGCCGGCCTCCAAAGTGCGTGTACATAACTTCAGAAGGTTCCCAAGCCCATTTTCAACATTTTTCACAGGTGGAATGGTCTAGAAAGACTTGAGATTAAATAAGCGAATAATTTCCCATAATGGTCAACCAGGTACCCTGTGGGGTCCACGACCTCCGATTACCAATCCGAGAGTTCCTATAGGTTCAACACACTTTACTAAACATGCCCTGCAAGTTTGGTCCGAATCGAATAGGCAGATCACTCGCGATGGGACGGTTACTGTTTACCTAAACTTTGAATTATTGAATCAGAGTATCCGGGAGTTCGATTCTCGATCCGGGAATTTCTACACGATTCCAGAAGTGTCAACATATTTGAAAATGAAGTCGATCCAATGGTCCGAACATATCGAACCCGGATAACGCCTGATATGCGATATCCCATCGACAATCAAATGGTAACCAAAATAAAATCCGAGCATACCGTCATGCTCAAGACAACATGAGGATCATTTTAGGACAAAACCCCAACCTAGACACCCCGCCGACGCGTCGCCACCTCTGGCGGGAGTGTAGAGAAATTTTTCGGCGATTAATCCTACAGATCAAGCACATTAAGGGGAGTAACTTTATACCTTGTCTAGAAGATCAATTCTACCTTTAAAGCCCTCAAACAAACGATTTCCTTTTTGAAAAAACCTAGAAAGTTTTGGGTTTAGATTCGTCAATTCTACTTGAAATTGGGTCGGGTCTTTGAGGGAAAACACATAGGGAAGGTATGCGAGTGCTTTGGGAGTAATTTAGTGGCGGGTGGTGGCTGAAGTTAGCTGGAAATGGCGTCGGTTCTCGCGGTTCAAAACAGCCCATTTTTAGGCTCACTTTGGCTCGAATTTTGGGTTTAATTCCTTGGATTTGGGGGCTGAAAATGAAATGGATGTGAAGAGGAGAAAGAGATGAAGAGTTTGCAAGTTGTCGCACCGGAATTGGTGGCTGGACGGCGGTGTTCTCGCTGTCTGAAAATGGGCTGCGAAAATGGGGGAAGTGGGGCTGAATCTGGAAAAAGAGAGAAAGCTAGCTGGGTTTTTAAAAAACTTATTTCAAAATATTTACAATTATGCCACTAGACTTCCGTAGATCATAACTTCTTCGTTATAACTCCGATTTGAGCCCACTATGTGTCTACGAACTCATTTTGACATGTGCTATGTAATGGTACTACTTAAATCCCCAGATTCTTTCCCAAAAAAAAGTCAAATTTTAACCCGTTAAAATATTCCCGAGATACACTTGTCTTTTACTTCAATAAATTAATAATTAAATATTAATTTAGGATCAGGTTATTACACTCTACCCCCTTATTTCGTCCTCAAAATTTCATACCTATCACTCGAAGAGGTAAGGGTACTAGGCCTACATCTGCTCCTCGGGTTCCAATGTGGCCTCTTCTACCGCATGACTCTTCCATAGGATTTTCACAAGTGGAATCTCTCTAGAACGTAATACTTGTATTTTCCAGTCCAAAATCTGAACAGGTTGCTCCACAAAATTCAAATCATCCTTCAATTCTATTGGTTGCGACTTCAGAATATGAGAAGGATCTGAAATATACTTTCGGAGCATGGAGACGTGGAATACGTCGTGTAACTGAGAAAGTTCTGAAGGCAAAGCAAGTCTATAAGCCACTGGGCCCACACGCTCCAAAATCTCATATGGCCCAATATAACGAGGGCTATACTTCCCCTGCTTTAAGAATACCCAGTCACCAACCTCAAATTGAAGTTCCTTCCTTCTATGTCTGCATAGCTCTTTTGTTGGTCTTATGCTGCCTTGAATCTTTCTCTAATCAATTTGACCATCTCCATTGTTGCTTCAACATCTTCAGATACTTCCAATCTCTTCTCACCCACTTCATCCCAATAAATTGGAGTTCTACGTTGCCTTCCATACAAGGCATCATAGGGTGACATTCCGATGCTTGATTGATAACTATTATTATATGCACACTCCATGACAGGTAGTTTATCATCCCAATCTCCCCGAAACTGTAGCGCACAGGCTCTTAGCACATCTTCCAAGGTTTGAATCATTCTTTCCGACTATCCATCAGTCTGGGGATGAAATGCAGTACTAAACCGCAACTGAGTCCCAAAAGCTTCATGTAACTTTGTAGAAAAATGGGGTGTAAACCGAGGATCTCTGTCTGACACAATAGATACTGGCAGCCCATGCAATCTTACAATTTTATCAATAAAAAATTTGGCCAATTTATTCGAAGTTTAAGTCGCTTTCACTGGCAGAAAATGAGCGGACTTGGTGAGTCGATCCACTATTACCCACACTCCATCATGATTGCTCCGTGTCCAAGGAAGCTTGAACACAAAGTGCATAGTAATGTGCTCCCACTTCCACTCAGGAATTGAAAGTGGTTGCAGTAACCCCAATGGTTTCTGCCATTCTGCCTTGACTTGTTGACATATCAAACGCTTACTGACATATTTTGCTATTTCCTTCTTCTTGAAAAACCACCAGTATTGTTCTCTCAGGGTGCGATACATCTTTGTGCTACCAGGATGCATGGCGAAGGCCGAAGAGTGGGCCTTCTCAAGAATTTCCCTCTTTAGAGCTTCATCCCCAAGTACATACAATCTTGTTCCTACCATCACAGCTCCATCATTCTTCATCGAATAATCTGTTCTTGTACCATTCTCGACTTCCAACCTTAACGTGTAGATTAACGGATCCTGCATTTAAGCTTCGATAATTCGTTCAACCAACATCGGTCTTACGTGGAGAGCAGCAAGTAAAGCTCCCTGATCATCCAAACTTAACCCAACTCTCGACTTCCTTAACTCCACCAACAATGGAAGATACTTCCCTCGGAGATAAGCAAATGATCCAGAGACTTCCTGCTAAGAGCATCAGCCACAACATTCGCTCTCCCAGAATGATGTTCAATGGTGCAGTCATAGTCCTTTATCAATTCTAACCACCTCCTTTGTCTTAAATTCAATTCCTTATGGGTGAACAAATACTTCAAACTCTTATGATCCATAAAAATTTGACACATTTCCCCATAGAGATAATATCGCCAAATCTTTAGGGCAAACACCATTGTAGCAAGCTCCAAATCATGCGTGGGGTAATTCAACTCATGCTTCTTGAGTTGCCTATAAGCATAAGTGATTACCTTATCATGTTGCATCAACACGCAACCTAACCCTTGTCGTGATGCATCACTGTAGATAACAAAGTTTCCACTATCATCAAGAAGTGTCAATATTGGAGCAGTTGTCAACCTAGTTTTGAGTTCATTGAAGCTTTCCTCTATTCAAACTTAACTCATTTCCTTGTCAAACGAGTGAGAGGTGTTGCTATAGTAGAGAAACCCTTCACAAAGCGACGATAATACCTTACTAGCCCAAGAAAACTTTGTACCTCAGTGACATTAGTTGGTTGCGGCCAATTTACCACTACTTCCAAATTTTGGGGGTCCATATAAATACTTTCCGCAAAAATCACATGCCTCAAAAAACTCACTCTATCCAACCAGGACTGACATTTGCTGAACTTTGCATACAACTGCCTCATCCTTAAAGTTCTCAGCACAATTTCCAAGTGTTTCATATGACCCTTTTGACTTTTAGAATACACAAGAATGTCGTCTATGAATACAATCACAAAGCAATCCAAGTAACTCATGAGATCCATAAACGCTACTGGCACATTAGGCAGCCCAAAAGGCATCACCAAAAACTCATAATGGTCATACCTCGTCTGAAAAGCAGTCTTATGGTACGTCCTCCTCCCTGATCCGCAACTGATGATAGCCTAATCTCAAATCAATCTTAGAAAACACCTTAGCACCTTTCAACTGATCGAACAAGTTGTCAATGCGAGGCAATGGATATCTGTTCCGCACTGTAACCTTATTAACTATCTATAATCAATGCACAACTTCATTGTGCCATCCTTCTTCTTCACAAATAAAACTGGTGCAACCCAAGGAGAAAAACTAGGTTGGACGAAACTAAGTTTTCAATTCTCTCAATTCAGCTGGTGCCATTCTATTTGGCGCCTAAGAAATAGGATTTGTTCTTAGGATAAGTTCAATAGTAAATTCAATCTCCCGTTCAGGAGGTAATCCAAGAAGATCTTCTAGGAACACATCCGGAAACTCCCGTACCACCGGAATATCTTCCAATCGCAATCCATTATCATGTGTATCAATCACATGAGCCAAGTATCCTGAGCATCCCTTTCTAAGTAACCATCTCGCCATCATGGCTGAAATGAGGTAAGATGGAAGAACTCTATGCTCCTCATAGAAAGATACTTCAAGTCGTCTAGGACTACGGAATACAACCTCCTTCCAGAAACAATCAACCGAAGCAAGATGCTTAGCTAACCAATCCATACCCAAAATGACGTCTAAATCCATGATATACAAAGGAATTAAGTTCGCCTCCAAGAATACATCTCCGACCAAAACCAAACTATTCATGTACACCACATTAGCCATACAAACATCTCCTGTGGGTACAAAAATAGCAAGCTTCTCACGCAGGGCTATGATTCTCACATTCAAATTATGGGCAAAACTACATGCAACAAAAGAATGTGCACCCCCGAGTTTGATCAAGACATGTGTAGGAATTCCAAAGACTTGCAACATACCTATGATGACGTCTGGTGACGCATGTGCCGCTTGCTGAGCCATATTGTATACCCAGTCGGTTGCTCTAGAACTTCCACCACGTCCCCTCTGCTAACTTCCTCATCTGCTAGCCGCACTAATTTGGGCCCCATTGCTAGAAGAGGCTCCCACAAACTTATATGTATCCTGCACTTGGCCCTATACACCACTCCCCTGATGATGCCCCGACTATCCACAATGAAAGCACCCTGAGGCATCCTGCTAACAAGGCCCAGTATGATATCTATTGCACAAGGCATACTAGGGGCGACTCCTTCCACTGTATACCATCTGCAACTATCTCCCCGAGCTTTTAGTTGTACCATCATCAAAACAGGGTCCAGAACTACCACTCTGGTCAGATACATCACTAGAACTGACTCCTGCTCGAAAACCTTTATAACTTCGACCACTAAAAGATCCGGAGCTGAAGCTACTCCTCTTAGATGACCCCTGACTGGGACCACCCAAATCATAATGACGCCGATGGGAATCGCCTCGCCCTCGCACCATCATCTAGCTACTCTCAATCAACGAAGCATACATCACCAGATCACCAAAATTTACCAAACATTGGCCCACCACGATATCACGAATAGATGCCTTCAAACCTCTAGTAAATAGCTGACATTTCTTTCTTTCCTCTGCCACTAGTGGTGTGCAATACTTGGACAACTCGATGAATTTCTTTTCATATTCTAATACCGTCATGCTGCCCCACTCAAGCTGTAGGAACTCCTCCATCTTCATGTACTAATAGGCTAGAGGATAAAATTATTCATCAATGCAGTCCAAAATACTTGCCATGTGATGGCCGACATATCACAACCCGGGATCAGCTCCGCCATAGCACAATATTGTCTGCTTTGGGCCCTCCTCTTTGCCCTCACAGTTTTGTTTCTGGGAACTCATGAGCAACTTCCCAGTGGGTCACCCATCCTGAGATTGCTCTAGCCCCAACTCACTTAACTTCAGAGTTCTGATGAATACGAAGCCAATGAGCTCCCAAAAGGCCTCGTGCTAGATGGAGGCGGACATGTGCATATAAGGCACATCACCCCCTCTCCATTGGTCTATGTAGGATGTTACACGACAAGTCCTGATACCGTCTTCTCATTGATTCCCACCAATATCTTGCATTTCTGGAAAGGAATGTAGCCAAAACCACTCTACGCTCCTGTGGAACGTCCATCACATCCATAATTTTTTCCATCTTCTCTATCTATTCTTCAGCTATAACAGGGTCACCATCACCATTAAACTCCACTGCCCCTATCCTTCTGCCTGATCTGCATAAGTCAAAACTGCATCCCTAGTATGCCCAGTTTGAGATAAGGCCTGAGTTAACAACTCTAATGTCTATTGAAAATTTGGGTCAACTGGTGGGGTGACCATTGCCGGTATTGCCCCTGTCAGATCCCCTACAAATGATTGATCAACCTGTTTCGGTGTCGAACCAAGAATAGGGTAGTCCTCCGGCTCATGAGGGTGATCCTGTCCCCGAAGTAGGGACGACCACACTTGGGCCCCATGATTCTGTCATAAGAAACATGAATTTATCAAAACATGAATGCACACAAGGTGCAAAGTCCACAAGAATTTAAACATAATGCTCTGATACCAAGTTGACAAGACCCGACCCAAATTCTACTTTGGAATCTGAGTCGAACCCTGTGTATGTCCGACACCTGGCAAGTGCCGAGCACACCTGACCAAATTACTCTTCTAACTAAAATTCAAAAACTTCTTTTGGGTTTGACTTCTGCCAAAAATTCGGCAATCTCCCCTGTAAAATGCTCGTTTCCCAAACTTTTTCACCTGTACAACATGCAATTCAAATATCCACCAACATTCAGCAAGCACAATGGTAGGACACACACAACCAACAACAAATCTTTATGGCCTCAAGCGTTACAGAAATCCTAGGGCAATTTCAGAGCAAGCTAATTCAGTTAATTACAAAACTAGAACAGTTACAAGAGAACATCCTACATAGTGCAAAAAGAGGAGTGATGAGTGATGACCGCCTCGTTGTTGTGCTCTGGTACACGACTACTGCCTGGGGGCTCAAAACATTTAAAAGTGTGAGTGGACAAAAGAAAGTTTTGGAAAATATAATATTAACATACTAACCCCACTGTTAAAACATTTGAAAATTCATTTATATCCATGTTCTATATTCATACCAAAATCAAGCATGCATAGCTATATACATATAATCGATCATGCATTTGAACAAATCCTCAAAACCATTTGAAAGCATTGTAAAGAAACAATTCATTTCCACCTAAGTGTACCCATAACAAAACCATCAATTCTATGATTTTCTATTTAATTCCCACAATATACCATCAATTTCTTGTGTCACATAATGGGACACATCCTCGCAGGTCT